GGGGGGGGAGGGGGGCACACCAACAACCGAAACACCGGCATTGATTCTTTCTAGGAGGAGGAGGATGGGGAGAGGAGGAGGAGAGGACGAAGGAAGGGGAGAGAAGAGGACGCCACAGAGCACACAGAGCATTGAATGACACACGCGCGAATCCAGTGCGAAAGCCTCGCGCGCGCGCCTTCAACCCCGAGGGGCTCCACAATCCCCCGTTCTCGAGGAGGAGGAGGAGGAGGAGGAGGAGGAGGAGGAGGAGGAGACGGAGGAGGAGGAGGAGGAGGAGTAGGAGGAGGGGGAAGGGGGGGGGGGGGCAGATAATAATATTAGTAGTAATAATAGTAATATCAATAATTAAAGGAAGAATAATTCCCTACCTAGGCTCTGCCTAGAAGGGTTCTTACTCTCTGGGCTTAAAGGGACCGGGCAGTGGAAAGCGCCCCGGGCGGTTCCCCCAGTATCCGCCCCGCGGTTCCCCCAGTTACGTCCCCTTAGCTTAGCGTTGCTTATCTCATCTTAACTTAGCTTATTTCATCTTAGCTTAGCTTAACATAGCCAAGCATCGCATAACAAACCATAGCCAAACATAGCATAGCATAACATAGCACAGCATAGCATAGCATATAATAGCGCAGCTTAGCATAGCATAGCATAGCATAGCATAGCATAGCAGAGCATATCACAGCGCAACATGACATTTCATAACTTAGCATTTCATAGCATAGCATAGCATAGCATAGCGCAGCATAGCATAGCATAGCACAGCATAGCATAGCATAGCAGAGCATAGCATAGCATAGCGCAGCATAGCATTGAAAATCATAGCATAGCATAGCAACTAATGCTGCTTTCCTAGGGGGGGGCAACTTCTAGGTAGGGTGGCACTGGGGTAATATTTGTAATATTAATAACATAGTTCAGAATAATAGTAATCATACTGATAATATTAGTAATGATACTATGTGTAATACTTATTCTAGTAATCAGGAGAATCATCACACTAAGAATAGTAAACATAAATCCATGATAATAATAAGCATAATCAGAGGAACAATACATCTAATATTGAAATAAGAAGGAGGAGGGAGGGAGGGAGGGAGGGAGGGAGGGAGGGAGGAGGAGGAGGAGGAGGAGGAGGAGAGGGAGGAGGAGGAGGAGGAGGAGGAGCAGAGGAGGAGCAGGAGGAAGCGCGGGGAGGAGGCCAGGAGGGGGGAGGAGGCAGGGGAGGAGGAGGAGGAGGAGGAGGAGGAGGAGGAGGAGGAGGAGATGAGGAGAGGAGAGGATGATGATGATGATGATGATGATGATGATGAGATGATTGAGGAGGATATGGGCAGGAGGAGGAGGGAGGGAGGAGGGAGAGGAGGAGGAGGAGGAGGAGGAGTGAGGATCAGGAGCGGAGGAGAGTAGGAGGGAGGAGGAGGAGGAGGAGGAGGAGGAGGATGCGGATGAGCATGAGGAGGAGGAGGAGGACGAAGAGGAGGAGGAGGAGCAGGAGGAGAAAGAGGAGGAGGAGGAGGAGGAGGAGGAGGAGGAGGAGGAGGAGGAGGAGGAACAGGAGGAAAGGAGGAGGAGGAGGAGGAGCAGGAGAAGGAGGAGCAGGAGCAGGGAGTAGGAGGAGGAGGAGGAGGAGGAGGAGGAGGAGGAGGAGAAGGAGGAGGAGGAGGAGGAAAAGTGAGGATCGTTCAGCTCAAAGGCAGTAGTCCCTTTCACACGCGCCTACTGGCGCAGGCAGGAATCCCGTGTTGCCACCATCGCCAGCCTATGCTCTCTGTTCCCGCTCTTTGTTTGGGCTTCGTGACCTCTCTGTCATATGACCGACCGACCGAAAGGTGAGGGGCAGTTCGCGCGCATAAAGCGGATTGGAGTGGAGCACCATGGCAATGTCACATTACGAAGTTGCCTCGACCGAGCGAGCTCCGCGACGGATATTCTGAACGGGAAGAGCATCACCCCCTCGTACCGCCGTCACGTACTCGAGCCATACATCGATTAATCCTATGGGTAGCACAGCCTTTGCCAGTGGGCCGATCAGAATGCCTAAGCGAAGAATCCCTCTCATCACAGCTTACTGATGCTTGCGGTGATTGCTTTGCCCAGGAGAAGTGTGACGTAGGCGAAGGAGGCAGTCTTTGCTGGTTCGTTATCCCGAGTCTGTTCGGCCAGAATATTCGAGGTGACCTCAATTGCACTTCTGCCCCGTTGGGCACCGACGGGGGCCAGACAGACTCCTTTCTTCGGCGAGCGAGGGGGGAAGTGAGAGGGGGCGGGCCTTCTCATAAGGCTCGGAAGTCCCACAACCTTCTGAGAAGTTTTCGAAGCCTTCCCCATGGACACAGACAACTTTTCAGAAGGCGCGAGGGCTTCCGAGAAATCCTGCCGCCTTCTGAGAAGGCCTTCTCTTTACCACTTCCCCCCCCTCGCTCGCCGCCAATTTATGTGCAGTTGCATCAGGGATTGATTGTGACTGCCTAAAACGGGCCGTCTGTAGGGTCCCATCGCTCACTGGGCCCCCAAGCCAAGAGTGAACACAATGACGGCCCGTTTTGGCAATTGCATGGCATCGAATTGTCGATAAGAGCAGTCCTTACTTTTAGTTGGGACCCCAATCCATGCTGACGCGGGTAGAGCGCCCTGCCCGAACAACAATAACAATCACAATGCGCGCGAGACAAGTTGAGGGGAGCGATCCGGGCTCTTCCCTTCCTGGGCCCCGGGCCAGTAGGGGGCCATCATAGACACGATCCGCTCTATTTATTACGTTGCTTGTAGCTGCCAGCGCGGGTCGTCTTCGTGGCTCTCCTCTTCCTCGAATGCGGCGCAGATGGCCTCTTCGGTATACTGTGGAGGAGATTCAGCCCGACAGAGAGCCCAAGTTTCCCATCTTCGGGTTTCTCTTGAGAGCCTCTTGGAGTCCTCTTGGCGGTCCCGGGGTCCTCTTGGAGCGTCTTGGGTGCCTCGGGGGAGCCGCTTGGGGCCTCTTGGGGGTCTCTTGGGAGCCTCTCGGGACCTCTTGGGGGCCTCGTGGGGCCTCCTGGGTGCCTCTTGGGGCTCTCTGGGGGCACTCTTTGGAGCCTTGTGGGCCACGGGCGGCAACGTGGCGAAACCTCGCTGGACACTCCCAGCGCACGAGGCGGGTACGAGGCGGCCACGGGCGGGAACGTGGCGAAACCTCGCTGGACCCACCCAGCGCACGAGGCGGCCATGAGGCGGCCACGGGCGGGAGCGTGGCGAAATGTCGCCGGGACCCACCCCGGCGCACGAGGCGGCCACGAGGCGGCCAAGAGACGGCCACGGGCGGCAACGAGGCGAAAGCTCGCCAGACCCACCCAGCGCACGAGGCGGCCACGAGGTGGCCACGAGGCGGCCACAGGCCGAAACGTGGCGAAACCTCGCCAATCCGAAACAAACTGCATGGTGCAATCTATGTGGTGTAAATTCCGCGGTGCAATCTACGTGGTGGACGCTATGCGGTGTAAGCTTTATGGTGCAAGATATTCGGCGCAAGCTACGTTGGGCGGCCACGGGTGGCCACGGAACGGTGACCCAAAAAGCCTCGGGTTACCAAACCAATTCCTGAGTACAACCAATAAGAACCCCTAAGTGCAAGCACTGATTGTAGAACATCGTGCAGTTGTGTGGTCACGCCGAAAGCCATATCCAAAGTATTTGGGCTCCTGTCGAGAACGTCGCAGCAGTCCGTCGCAACGGGTCCCCCTGGCTCGCAGGGACCAAAGTTGGCTAGCAGGACTACAGGCCGTGCTTTTTGGCAGGTTCGGGCACAAGAGCTGCCGGGCCAGATCGTATGTCTTCTCCTCTTGCTCTTTGGGCTCCAGCCCCACAGCAACGCCTACCTCAAGCAGTGGGCGCCGGGCGCATGCCAAAACATCGAAAGCCATAGTCAGAGCACCCCATTCAAGGACTCAACTCTCTCCTCCTGTTTTGGGTGTACCTGGCCCGGTTGAGCGTGCTGCAGTCGAGGGCTCTTCTTCTTCGATACCCTGAGCCAAGGACACATACGGAAGAAGACACATCGCGCTGCATGCGTTGCAGCATGCTCTGCAACTCTGCACTATTATGGCAGCAACCCAGGGCCAGCTTGTCATCTCGACCCGTTCTTCGACGGTACTGGGGCCCAGCGAGGCCCCCAAGGCCGGCAATGGCAAACAACCTCCGTCTCGTTTCTTTCAATACGTTGGAGGTTCGGGTATCCTCTCGAAGACATCTCGTGAGTCTTTCGGCCACAGCCTGGCCGATCGTGGTCGTGGCGGCGCGCTCTGGGCGAAGGTGCCCACTGATGGGCCCAACGGACCCCGAATGGTGCAGCTGGGCTCGACCGATCAATTGCCTAGTGTTTGGGTTCGCGCCTGGCCGTCTGGCTCAGGGGGGGTGCGTGGTTGCCCAAGTGCTTGTTCATCGCCGACTTAGGGGCCCGATAGTCCTCCCCGCCCAAGACCATGCGGATTCGCTATCAGGGGCCAATCGCCGATCTATCGGCGATGTATCGCCGATCCCAGGTGGGTGATTCCCACCTCTTAGCCAGCCCCCCCATATCTTTGCCCTGCAACCGTCCTGGGTTAGGCGCTCTGGGCCTGGTCCGCCCGTGTTCACCGGGACGGGTCCCTGGGTCGGGGTCCAGGGTCCTTTGGTCTGGGCCTGGGCCCAAGCGTCAGGTCTGGCCCGTTGCCAGTGCAGTTGAGCAAGCAGAAGCTTGAAACCCGAAGCCTGGATGTGAGGTACCTCCTTCCTCCAGTTGGTTGTCGGGCCATAGTTCGGGCCCCAGACGGCCGTTCGGGACGATTCCAGCGTCCCTGAAGGGCTCCCGACCGGGTGCGGCTGCCGGAGATCACCCCAGGGCTAAAAAAGTTGTCCAGTAGCAAACAAGTAGCGCAACATCGGGGACCTCAGAAGAAGACAGTTCGTGTCAATGCAAGGATACTTGGGCCTCTTAGCCATTTTTGGGATCAAGACTTTGGCTCAACCCATGTGGTTAATGATGTCCATCGATGCTAGACCCCAGGCAAGGATCACGACAAAGTAGTTATCCCCGTGAAGTGACCATACAACAATGTGGGAGGGCAAAGCATTGGAGTGCAGCGCTGCAACTTTTCCGCGAAGTTTGTCAAATAGGTTCGGAATTGAGCTTGGTACATTACAATTCGATTCTCGGCGCGTGCAGTAAGGCTAGGCAGTGGCAGCGTGTTTTGGGACTGCTCAGCGAGATGTGGGAGGCGAAGCTCGAGCCCGACGTCATCAGTTACAGCGCTGGGATCAGCGCCTGTGAGAAGAGCGAGCAGTGGCAACGGGCTGTGGCGCTGCTGAGCGAGATGTGGGAGGCGAGGCTGAAGCCCGACGTGATGAACTACAACGCTGGGATCAGCGCCTGTGGTCAGTGTCGTCAGTGGCAACGGGTTTTGGCGCTGCTGAGCGAGATGAGGGAGGCGAATATGAAGCCCGACGTCGTCAGTTACAGCGCTGGGATCAGCGCGTGTGGTAAGGATCAGCAGTGGCAACGGGCTTTGGCACTGCTGAGCGAGATGTGGGAGGCGACGCTGGAGCCCAACGTCATCTCTTCTACATTGTAGGTCCCCGCGCTTGCCAGAAGTGTCCTGGCACAAGAGGGTGCCGAGTCCAGAAGTCGCACTTGGCGCCTCCTGGATCAGGCCTGAGTCCTGCAGGCCCCTGGGGCGCTTCCATCGGGGGTCTCCACACGGTGGAGTGACCGCACCGTGTGGTGAGTCAGTGGGGATTCGGGGTGACCGCACGGTTTTGGGACTCGGTTCGGTCTCCGAGGATGTCTTGGGCGACTGGAGTCTCCAGGGTCCAGAAACCATGCGTTGACTGTCCGTGCGGTGTGTTCTTTGGGGAGTCCGATGTCAGCGCGCCGTCATGACGCACCGTTTTTGGGACCCCTTCGGTCTTTCATGGCGTCTCCAAACGGCCCTCTGGAGCCCTCGGGGGCCTGGCGCGTCCCCGAAAGGCCCCACAGCGCTTCAGGGTGATGCCGAGGTGGCCCCCAGAGGCTCTGCTGGCTCCGCCGTAAGTCGCCGACAGGCAAAAGTTGTGGAACTGGATTTTCGTGAATTTCCGCCACTGCCCACTATTCGGCTTCACACGGCTCCACAAGTGGCCCAGCACAGCTACAAGAATGAAGGCCTCAGAGGCCCGCAAGGGCCCCCAGGAGGGCCCATGACGCCCAGAATGCGGCCTCCACGATGGCCCCAAGACCAAAGAAGGTCCCAGGACAGCCCAAGACCGCCCCAAGATGGTCCCAACACCCGCCCCGGAGCGCCCCCACAGAACCCACCCCCCACACCAGCAACACCCAGAGGCTCCAAGGGCCATCCAGGTGGCCCCAGGAGGCGCGGGAGAGCTCCAATGGAGCAGGCTTCGAGATGTGCCCAAGAGGGCCCCTGAGCGACCTGAGAGGAGGCCGGGTGTTTGGCCACACGCGCGCCGTTGCCATTGAGAGATTCGTGTGTTGGCCGCTTCTCAGGCCTCCCTCCTCGCATCCTTCTCCCTACTCCTTGCTCCAACATCCTCGCTCCTCGCCTCGCTCCTTGCCCTTCGCTGATCAGTCCTCACTTATCCCACTTCCCTCCTCAAGGCTTACTCCTCGCTCCTTTCCCCTCGCCCCTCCCTCCTCGATCCACTCACGAGCAGCAGGTTGCGCCAGCGAGTTAGCAAGAGTACCGAGAAGCAGCACCTTGCAGTCACAAGCAGCAACCGCGAACAGCATCAGCAGCACGCAGCGCGAAGCAAGCAGCACCAGCGGCAGCACACCACAACAGCAAGCAGTAGCACCCTGCAGCTGCAGGCAACAGCAGCAGAGGCGAAGTTTGGGCCCAGCGTCATCGTGAAAGCCTTGCAGCATCATCTCTGCCCTGACACAAAGTGCTATCTCGGACTGGTTTCGTGGCCAGTAGGCCACGGGTCAGCACCAAGTAGTTGACCTAATCTACAGCCTCAGGGGCGCGTGCCCTATTTCATCCTCAGCGGCGCGCGCCTCATTTCGTGTTGTCTCCCAGGCCAAGGTTCACGGCGTGCGTGCGCCTTCCTATTGCAAGTTGGTTGGCGTCATATTTTTACCTAACAGCGAAGACTGATAGGTTTCTAGTGGTGTCAAAAGAGAGCAGCAGATGACTCCACAGGGGGGTCTGGGCGGCATCCGGGGAGCTGTGTCCGAACTCGTGTCCGAACTCGTTTTTCGCAAACAGTCACACACTTCGTGCTCTTCGACCTCCCAGAACTCCACTCCCGGGCCACACTCTGAATGCCCGGAGCCAATTGTAGGCCACTTCGTGCTCTTCGACTTCCCAGAGCTCCATTCCCGGGCCACATTTTGAATGCCCGGAGCCAACTGTAGGCCACTTCGTGCTCTTCGACCTCCCAGAACTCCATTCCCGGGCCACATTTTGAATGCCCGGAGCCAACTGTAGGCCACTTCGTGCTCTTGGACTTCCCAGAACACAATTCCCGGGCACATTTTGAATTTTGAATGCCCGGAGCCAACTGTAGGCCATTTCGTGTTCTTCGAGTTCCCAGAACTCCATTCCCGGGCCACATTTTGAATGCCCTGAGCCAACTGTAGGCCACTTCGTGGTCTTCGAGTTCCCAGAACTCCATTCCTGGGCATGATTTTGAATGCCCGGGGCCAGCTGTAGGCCACTTCGTGTTCTTCGAGTTCCCAGAATTCAATTCCCGGGCCACATTTTGAATGCTGAGGCAGGCTGATGCTGAGGCTGAGGCAGGCTGAGGCTGAGGCAGGCTGAGGCTGAGGCCGAGGCTGAAGGCCGACTGAGGCTGAGGCTGAGCAGGCTGAGGCTGAGGCTGAGGCAGGCTGAGGCTGAGGCTGAGGCTGAGGCTGAGGCTGAGGCAGGCTGAGGCTGAGGCTGAGGCTGAGGCTGAGGCTGAGGCTGAGGCTGAGGCAGGCTGAGGCTGAGGCAGGCTGAGGCTGAGGCCGAGGCTGAGGCTGAGGCTGACTGAGGCTGAGGCTGAAGCAGGCTGAGGCTGAGGCAGAGGCAGGCTGAGGCTGAGGCAGGCTGATGCTGAGGCAGGCTGAGGCTGAGGCTGAGGCTGATGCAGGCTGAGGCTGAGGCAGGCTGAGGCTGAGGCCGAGGCTGAAGGCAGACTGAGGCTGAGGCTGAAGCAGGCTGAGGCTGAGGCTGAGGCAGGCTGAGGCTGAGGCAGGCTGAGGCTGAGGCTGAGGCTGATGCAGGCTGAGGCTGAGGCAGGCTGAGGCTGAGGCCGAGGCTGAAGGCAGACTGAGGCTGAGGCTGAAGCAGGCTGAGGCTGAGGCTGAGGCAGGCTGAGGCTGAGGCTGAGGCAGGCTGAGGCTGAGGCTGAGGCTGAGGCTGCAGGCTGAGGCTGAGGCAGGCTGAGGCTGAGGCCGAGGCTGAAGGCAGACTGAGGCTGAGGCTGAAGCAGGCTGAGGCTGAGGCTGAGGCAGGCTGAGGCTGAGGCTGAGGCAGGCTGATGCTGAGGCAGGCTGAGGCTGAGGCTGAGGCTGATGCAGGCTGAGGCTGAGGCAGGCTGAGGCTGAGGCCGAGGCTGAAGGCAGACTGAGGCTGAGGCTGAAGCAGGCTGAGGCTGAGGCTGAGGCAGGCTGAGGCTGAGGCTGAGGCAGGCTGATGCTGAGGCAGGCTGAGGCTGAGGCTGATGCAGGCTGAGGCTGAGGCAGGCTGAGGCTGAGGCCGAGGCTGAAGGCAGACTGAGTCTGAGGCTGAAGCAGGCTGAGGCTGAGGCTGAGGCAGGCTGAGGCTGAGGCTGAGGCTGAGGCTGAGGCAGGCTGAGGCTGAGGCTGAGGCTGAGGCTGAGGCTCAGGCTGAGGCAGGCTGAGGCTGAGGCCTGAGGCTGCGGAGGCAGACTGAGGCTGAGGCTGAAGCAGGCTGAGGCTGAGGCTGAGGCTGAGGAGGCAGGCTGAGGAGGCAGGCTGAGGCTGAGGCTGAGGCTGAGGCAGGCTGAGGCTGAGGCTGAGGCTGAAGCAGGCTGAGGCTGAGGCTGAGGCTGAGGCTGAGGCTGAGGCTGAGGCAGACTTAGGCTGAGGCTGAGGCTGAGGCAGGCTGAGGCTGAGGCAGGCTGAGGCTGAGGCTGAGGCAGAGGCTGAGGCTGTGACTGCGACTGCCGTTGCCGCTGCGACTGTCATCGCGAATGCGACTACGACTGCGAGAACAGCAGAATTCTACAACTGGGTTCTCATTTGAATCTTAATGGGAATGCTTCCAGATATGCTCCTACACATCGCTGTTAGGTTGCTTTGCCGGGATAATTTGTTTCTTTGGCGAATTGCTGTTTCATTCGGTGGGTTCTTGGAATATCCCGTCGTGGTGATGTCTTATCGTGGTGTTGGGAGCACACACGTATAACACAACTCTAGATGGGTTTGTAGCTGTATCTTTGCATTTCTGTATACCTAAATGGTGGATGTATACATCCACACATTTATATACATGCACATCTGTATAACCATATATAGATGTATGTATTCGTTGTTCGAGGTGGAGGTGTTCGTATGTGCATCTGTATATGTTGGTATGTAGATGTGAGCATGTCTGTATGACTTTGTGCACTCATGCACATGTACACATACACATGGGTGCATTTATGCATTTTTTTTTTTTTTTTTTTTTTTTTTTTTTTTTTTTTTTTTTTTTGTTTTTTCTCTCTCTCTCTCTCTCCCTCTCCGAAGGAGTAGAGCTCAGAGGCGATTAATGCGTACGCGGGGCGCCGCGTCCTCGATTTTTCTGGCCGTTTCGCTAGGGACATCCTCGAAATTCAGAACATCGGTGGCACCCCTCACGCAGATCGTGACGTCAGGGTCCAAACAACACATGGGAATTTCAACATTTTAACATAAAACCTTCAATTACGCTACCGAGGAACCCCACATACTTATTTTATGTCCACGTCGCCGAGGATGGCCGAGGACGCGGAGGAGGCCATGGTGCGCGACTACGGGTCGGGCGACAACCGCTTTGGGCCATGCGACTTCAACGGGAGCTTGCTGGCGCTGCTCCCGAAGAAGCCCACAGGGCAAGACCCCGTGGCCGGCGCCTTCTACAGCCGGGCGGACACGCGCCCGCTGATGCTCGTGGACACGTCGAACCGCTTGCTGGCCAGCGCGATACGGCACGCCATCGAGCCTGCCATCGAGGCCCTGGTGGGCGAGAGCCAGCGGGGCTTCCTTAGCGGCCGATCCATCTTGGCCAACGTCATAGACCTCGAAGCGGCCATGCAGGAGGCGGCGCCGGATGCCGATTGTTCGTACGCCCTGCTGTTCGACATGCGGGCGGCGTTCCCCAGCCTGGAGCACGACTACTTGCACTACGTGTTGGATAAGCTGGGGCTGCCGCGGGGCGTACGCGCCGCTATCCGCGCACTCTGCGTTGGACAGCGCTGTTGCTTGGCGATGGCGGGCCAGTGGTGGGAGGGGTTCGTGATCTCCGCGGGTATCCGTCAGGGGTGCCCTCTCAGCCCGCTCCTGTTTGTGCTCGTAACGGAGCCCTTCAACCGCCAATTAGATTCCGTGGCAGGCCGCCGCGAGCGCTGCGCCTTTGCCGACGAC